ATATATATATATATATATGTGTGTGTGTGTGTGTGTGTGTGTTATTTGACAATATTTGATAACTGATATTCTTGTTCACAGCTTTTATATTCAGGAGAACTGTATCCACTGTCATACAAGATGCTTGGTAGCAAATATAATTGCAAATACTTGTAACACAAATAATGTAATTGACGCAAGTAAACTTTTACATCAAAATAACATTTTAACAAATGTGAATCATAGTTTTTAATGAGTGAAAATGAATTCAAAAATCCTCTACATAAAGCAGAACGCCAGAAAAAACCCCACAGATGTACATTTGTATTTAATCATTCAGCAGATGCTTTTATCCAAATGAGGACCATTAAAAGCAACTTATCAAATGTATTATTCACAGTCAACACAACGTGACCAAGGTGTTTATTAGTTTATTCAAATCCATCCTTCAATTTATAAGATTTTCTGTCATTATAAATGAAAAGCAAAGACTGATAAAAGCAATGAATTCTGTTCATTTCAGTGAAATGCAATTAAATCACCACAGAATCTGCAATTTAGCATTGATTTTTTTGAAAATTGTTTCATCACACATTAGAGCTGATCTGATGAATTTATTGTTCAAATACAATTAATACTACAAAACACAGCTAAGATCTAGGTTTTGATTATGCCAAAAACACAACAAATACTGAATATGTATCTATGTTTAGGCATTTGTTTGTGATTTAATAAATAATCAATTTTCCACAAGCACATTGAGAGCTTTCCAACACAAAACCAACACATTCAAACAAGTCGACTTCATCACGTAACGGTGATTTAAGTCATGATTGTGATTCAAATGCATGAATACTAATGAATGCGATCCTGCAGCTACAGAAAGCTCTCTATGGTCTTGTCACAGAGGCAGTGCTACTTCATGAAATTAAAACAGCAGTAACGTAATGCATGAATCAAATGCAAGAGGCAAAGCGCAGCTGACATGTATTCTCATCATTTACATTCCTCTAGAAACATCAATAGATCAGTAGCGCTGCATCACAGCTCTGTTTAATATGAATATCAGCACTGAATTCACATCTGGACTGATGAATGATCAAATGCCCAGTCAACACACCGTCACAGCTCTCACTGATTGCTTTTTGTCACGGCTTCACGTTTAATTCAGCCAGGTGGGAAATTAATGCATTTAATTTCTCTTAATTGACACAATGGGCATAAAAAGCATTCTGATTGAACACTTGCGATGGCGAGAAATTAAAAATCCAGAGCATAAGAGAGAAGTGCATGTATGAGAAAAGCCAGGAGCAAAAACCCTTCACACGCAGATATATTAGATATTTTCTATTGGAATATCAATCTAAACAGCTCAACACACTTAACAGGATTAGAGCTTGGTAAACACACACACACACACAAATAAATGAAACAAATACATATCATTTATAATAAATACACATATATTTCTATCTGTAAGTAATAATGAAGCAAAATTTGTGAATCAGTCATTAATATTATTATACATTAATATATTGTTTTGTATATTAATATATTAATATTATCTATTAATTATGTTAATTTTGCCTATTATTGCAATAATATATATATATATATATATATATATATATATATTAACATTATCTATCAAATCATAGAATAAACATTTGTCAGGTTTTAGTCCAGTGTTACAGTGTTCATCTATCTTTTTCTTTCTCTCTTTTTTCTTTTTCTTCCTTTCATCTATCTTTCTTTATTTCTTTCTTCTTTCTTTAATCTATCTTTTTCTTTCTTTTTTCCATCCATCTGTCTTTTTGTTTTTTCTTTATTTTTTCTTTCTGTCTGTCTATCTGTTTTCTTTCTTTCTATCTGTCTGTTTGTTTTTTTCTTTCTTATCTATTTCCTTTCTCTTTCTATCTTTTTCTCTCTTTCAATTTGTTCTTTCTCTCTTTTTTCTTTCTGTCTATCTTTTTCTTTCTATTTTTTCCTTTTTTTCTTTCGTTCTTTGTCTTTTCTTTTACTTTCTTTCATCTATCTTTTTCTTTCTTTCTGTCTTTTTTCTCTTAGATGGACTTTCGTTTCTCTTTATTTTTTCTTTCTTTCTTTTTATTTTTTCCTTTCTTTTTCTTTCTTTCTGTCTTTTTTCTTTCTTTCATCTATTTTTACTCTATTTCTTTTTCTTTCTATCTGTCTATTTCTTTCGTTCTGTCTATCGTTTTTCCTTTTTTTCTTTCTATCTTTTTCTTTATTTCTTTCATCTATTTTTACTCTATTTCTTTTTTCTTTCTATCTGTCTATCTTTTTTCCTTTCTTTTTTCTTTCTATCTTTCTCTTTCTTTCTTTCTTTCTTTCTGTCTATTTTTCCTTCTTTCTTACTATCTTCTTTCTTTCATCAATTTTTACTCTATTTCTTTTTTTATTTCTATCTATCTGTCTATTTCTTTCTTTCTGTCTATCTTTCTCTTTCTTTCTTTTTTCTTTTTCTATCTATTTTTCTTTCTTACTATCTTCTTTCTTTCATCTATTTTTACTCTATTTCTTTTTTCTATCTGTCTATTTCTTTCTGTCTGTATCTTTTTCCTTTCTTTTTTCTTTCTGTCTATTTTTCTATCTATCTTTTTCCTTTTTTTTCTTTCTTTCTCTTTTTTCATTCTTTCTATCTGTCCATTTTTCTTTCTTTCATCTATTTTTACTCTATTTCTTTTTTCTTTGTATCTTTTTCTTTCTATCTGTCTATTTCTTTCTTTCTGTCTGTCTATCTTTTTCCTTTCTATCTTTTCCTTTCTTTTTTCTTTCTTGTCTTACTGTCTATCTTTTTTTCTTTCTATCTATCTATCTATCTATCTGTCTATCTGTCTATCTGGATCTGTAGTGTGAAAATAAACTGTAAACACTTTCCATTTATAAATATTTGAAAAAAATATTGTAAGTAAATGTTTTATTAAAATCAATTGTTTTGCGAGAAAATTGTATTTTTTCTCTTTCTACTTTAAAATATGTGTGATTCAATGCTTTACTTCATTCTTTGTAATTAATTCTTTACTAGCACTTTCTGAGTGAAAATTGTTTCTACACCAAATGTGTGCTTCTATTTCCAGGTCAAAGTTCAGAGAGAAGCAGAGCACGCAGGAAGATCAGGCAGCAGCAGACACATTTCTGACGTCTGAACTCATCCAATAAAGCACAGTTAAGAAATATAATCCATGAGCACAGGAGAAGATGTGTGTCACATTGTTCCGCTCACTGCAGGGAAAAAAAACAGAAACTCAAGAGACGGAAGACAGAAAGCAGGAGGGAGAAATACGGAGAGCGCCACCAAAGGGCCGGACGTATCGCACATCACCCCTCCTCCACATGTTTTCATCCTTCACTGTGACCTCTGACCTCTGCCCAACCCCCTTCAAACACACACACAGGCATCCCGTTTCCCTGTGTTAAATTAACAACACACTTCTGCTCTGACTACAAGACGCACACGCAGTATTTGATCTGCTG